GTCGGCGTGATCCGCGATGATGGACGAAGACGTGCGACCGATTGTGTCTGAGACGTTGACGAGGTTCGGCAGAGGAGCGAGGGGGTGAGCTCCTGATGAGATGGAAATGGAAACGGGAGGAGGGGTGTGCGGCTCCGAAGAGGGGAGGAGGCCCGTCTGAGGAGGAGGGGAAAGGAAAGTGGAGGAGAAGAGAAACGAGAGAGGAAAAGAGAAGTCTTGAGGGAAGGAGATCTTGAGAGGGTTTGAGAAATGGAGGACGCTCTGGGGTTTAATGATTTTTGACGGGGGGGGTGTTGAGGGAGGGTAGGAGTGCGAGAGACGGGAAGGGAGGGAAGAGGTGGGATCAGCGAGGAGAACAGAGCAGAAGCCAGAGGCGCTGAGCTGTGGCCGTGACCACGACCGTGACCGTGGTGTGTGTGCGTGGGTGGGACACAGGGAAACGACAGGGAAGGGGCATTGGGAGAAGGGGGGGGCACCAGATGGGAAGAGGGAAGGAAGGAAGGGGGCAGCCACTGAGCCAGCATCGGCGTGTACCATCGTTGCATTTCGGACGGGGCAGCAGAGGCAAGAAAGGGGGGTGGAGGTACCTCGGGCCCAGGGTGTGGTGTGTGGTACCGAATGAATAGGCGAGAGTGGACACGACCCGGCTGGGGCACAGGCAGGGCAGGCAGGCATGCAGGCAGGACAGACAGGACCGGCAGGGCAGGCATGACATGGACAAGAAGGTGCCTGTCCTGTCTTTTGTCGTGTGCCTGTGCCTGGCGCGCCCAGTGGATGTGGACGGTATGGGTGAGGGAGGGGGTGGTAGAAACGTTTCCCGAGTGGGGATCTGGGGCGTCGTTGTAGCAAACTGCCGTCGCCGCTCGTGCCTTTTCCCAACGCTCAGCGCTCGTCGCCCTGTGCGCTGCTCGACCCGCTAGGAGCCTTTGGGTTGTGCAAGCCTGACCATCATCAACCAGCTCTTCTTCCCAGGCACAGCCGAGAGATGACGAAGGACCCATCTCGCATTCCTATTCCCCGTGGCCTATGGGCCCCTTGCCTGCAGGTGCCTGCTTTGACGAGGTACATGTAATCCATTCAAGTTACAGCAGAGGGATGGGAAACGCGGAAGGGAAAAGAAACTCAAAAAACCCCCAGTTCCAATGGTGTCGATATGCCCTGCCACGGTGGATATCTCATGTTGTTTTGTTTCTCGTGGTGCCCCATGTTTGGCCGGGCTGCACTTTCATTCAGCTTCCAACAGTCGTTGTTCTTCAATGATGGAATGCTCAAAGACAGCAAGCCCTCCCAGCTTGCTGACATATGACTCGTCTGTCAGACAGAGACTCTCCCGGCGGCCTGGTGGGGAGGCTATGATCCCATGGTCACATCGGCACCTTCGCAATGACCGGCCGGTCAACCCCGATGCGCCCCTTTTTCAACTCCAAAGCAACGCTTTACACGCAGAGTCGGAGCTCAGAGGGGAGTGCGGCGATGACGGCGGGCTGTAGAAAGGAGCATGCTGCTGTGGCGTTCTGGTCCCTTTTTGTCGGACCAACAGAGGTGCTAGGCACAGGCAGTCGGCGTTCCCTTTTACTCTGTGTTGCACAAGTCACTCTCGCTGCTTGTTGAAGACCAGACCAGACGATGGCGTGTAGCGGTTCATGAGACTAAGCCCCCGCCTTCCCCCCTATCGTCGCCTGTCTGAGCCCGCTGATTGGGTCCTCCGCGGCAGCTTGACTCAGAACGCCAGATTCCCGCACCGCCCCCGTCGCGTAGAACGCAAGATCACAAACAAAAAAAGGTTGCATGGCCACGAGTCACTTCTCATCGGGCAAGTTTACCATCGCGAAGCCTCACCCCGCTGAAGAAGGCAGATAGTGGGTCGACTTCCTACCCAGACCCGGTCCGGTTACGAGGTTGGCAACTGCGATGGACCGCCGGAGGGACTTCGCGGAAGTTCGTTGTGTTGAGTCGTCAGCGTCGGCCGTGTGTTAAGACCAGGCCACGGTGCTGCTATTGACAGGGGCACGCCGTGAAAAGGAGTGGGAGGTGGCCTGGATCATCCGCGCCGCGTCCTGCTATCCCCAATGCCGGCGAGCGCCCGAAATACCGTCACATCGACCTGCTCCTTGTGCGACCTCTCGTTTCTTCAGAGAAATAGGCCAGATAATTTCCATCATATGTTACGAACAATGAAGAGCTTTGGAGGGAAAAGCTTGATCAGCTGGCATGAAGGCAGGGGCTCACGACCGCCCTGTCTTGCCCCTCCGAGGACCACTAACACGGCCCTCACTGGTACGAGAGTGTCCGCGTGTGTTGGCCGATAGTTCCCAGGCCAAGAGAACACAGTCGCGAAGGTGGGTATCGTTTTGATGATGAGGCTTTCCCTAGGCTGTATTAGAGGCCGGCGGTGGTCTGGCAAGGGAAACATAAAGACAGTGGTCAGGGCGTCAGCGTTCGCTTCTGGGGCCGGATCTCGGGTCTCCTTTCATCGACTGTAATTGAGTGTCTGAGATCACCTGTCTAGTCGCTGGTGTCGTCGAGAGGCCATACCACGAATCGAACTGCCAGAGCGGGGTGGATCGCTGTAAAAAAAAGCTATGCTAGTCATCGCATCATATTAGCTCTGTATGCATCGACTCTTCGTGAGCCGGCACGGGCACCGTCCCTGCTGGCGCCCGACTAAGTCATGGGTCTATAACGTGCGCGATTCGGTTCGCCGAATGGTCGTCAAGTTGTTGGTCCGTCTGAGTTCGGTTTGATCAAATACATCTTTCAAGGTGCAATAGCGGGAGCAAACTCGGCGTGCGTGAAAGCAAGAAAAAAAACACGTCGCGTTGAGGATGGATTCTTTTGGAAGCATCTCCACATCCAATATCGCTTGAAGCGAGGGTCCGGGAAACGCCGACCCTGGCAGTCCACAGGGAGGGCTCGGATGCATGGGATGATCAGAGTCTACATAACCGCGAGTTATCCATGGCATGCATTGGGCAACCTGAGCAGAAGACGATGGTCTATGCGTTGCGAACATTAATCGACCCCTTCGATGACATGTTTTCCGGCGAGCTGACAACCCGCCATTGCCGAAGCAGACACGTTGGCCCTGATTTCATGCATCGTGCTAGCATCGAGACAAGTCTTGTTCTCGAGGCGTTGATCTCACCGGCGCTGAACGTTATTCAGAGGGAGAGTCGCCTCCAAATCTGCCACGGGCGCCTTTGACTGCGCATTTTAGACTCGAATCTACACCAGAAGAAGGAAGGGTACAGAACAAAAGAACATGCGCGCTTGACGCCGCTCACTTCACAGCCCCCACGACTGGCAACGGATGGCAGCAGCAGCAAAATCCCAGTCAGGCTTTTTGCGCATCTGGGCTCTGGCCCATGCGTGACCCTACCACAGCTTGATGACCCTGCTGCTCTGAAA